TGCTTTTCAAAAAAACTGATTTGTAAATATTTTGCTTTAAGTCGTGGTTCTACTTTCAATTTATAGGTAAAAGGCAGATTAATAATGTGTCAGAAATGGTGCTACAAAAGACATCCTTCATAGCTTTCTCTAGTTTACCTACAATTATTATTTGGTTTGTGAAGAACATGCTGTACTCATAAAAAAACTCCACATACACTTATCAAGGTTGAGAATCTGGAGAAAAAGCAATGGATGCTAAATGATGATCAAAGATAGTCATCTATATACCCTTTCTTTGTTCCGACAATAAAATGTTTTAGAAAATATTCCAACTGATACAATCTGGGAACTCCAGAAAGCTCACCAAGACTATCTAATAACAAGTGGGTTGAAGCTAAAATTGTACAAAGTGACAGCTAAAGTGAGGACAGCTCTCTGTTTTATTCTAAGACATACAGAAGCATCACTTGGGAGCTCACCTAGAATTACACTGCAGACATCCACTTAATGATTACCTGCAGATGAAGACTTTGTTTCCCCAGAATGCTGCCATTATGTTAGACTTCCTCATTTTTTAGCATTTATATAGAATACTGCCAACATACTTTTTATATGATGACTCACACACTGAACTATAAAGTCCTGTTAAGCCTACTGGCTATTTTAAAAAAAAAGTGTCATCACAATATTGCTCAACTTCCTTTCTGAACCTTTCCATATTGCAAATGGTTCAATACTCTGATTTTGAAGAAAATTTCCTTGTAATACTAAAATAAGAACCCTATACAGATCAATAGCAACTTCACTGCCTCCACCCTGCCCAATCTCCCAATTTCCTCCTGACAAATTTCTCTTTTGATTACTGCACTGCAACAGCCGGGGAAGATAAAGCCATTTGCAGGATGAATAAAAATACTTTATTTCATGGTAATAAATGCTTTAGCATTCCTCACCACCCAAAGAGTTTTAAAGGTCCCATAACAAATGGGACCATCTGGAATTTCAAATTTGCCTGGCTCATACAGGAATGGGCATGAGAGGAGAGGGCAGGATGAGAATGCTCTTTAAGACACAGCTGTCAGATCCATCTCTGTGACGGAGTTGCTCATATTCTTGCCCTCAATGTTGTGCATACTCAGATGATCTATATAATTATGGCTTTTAAGTATCCATGGTAACTAAGGTGCTTACTGAGATAGCTTACTAGTGTGTATGTGTGTATAAGCTATTTTATTAACATTATAAAATTCTCTAAGCTCCTGACAATCTCCACATTGTTATCTTCTTTTCCCTATTGTCAATTGTCAGGAATTCACATACATCTATAATGACTCTATCACTTGATCTGTGTCTCTTTTCTTTATTATATATACATTCTATGTATATCATGTTCCAATCCTTTAAGATATACCCATATTTGCCATTGCTTCATATTGCTTATAAATTTTGCTCCCCCCTCTCTATTATTTGTTAAAAATACTGCCTAAATATGTTATCCTGCCATTAAAGAAAGGGTAGAAATATTGTCTCAACTCACCAGCCATTCCAAAATTAAGTTGAGGCATTTCTTCAGTCTTTGCTTTCTTGGGGCTTGGCAAATCTCTTGAAGATTCAGATGGGAAGGCCCAAAGTTTCTTTCGTGGATTGACAGTGGGTGTTGGGGATTTCACAGGCTTGTTTGTGGTAGGACACCATTTGTAGCCAGGATTTGCTTTCATAAATGCATCTTTATACTATAAATAAAAGAATAGAGAACAGATTTTAATTAACATGTAGACTGAAAAAGTTCTAACAGCCTTCACCCCATTCCCCTATTTAATGAGTGAGAAAAACACTTCGAGTGACTTCTGTGGCTCTCCTTGTAGAAGGATGACAATCTCAGCACAGGGCCCTAGAGAAAGGACATGGAGTTATCTTCTGGAAAGTCCATTTGTGTGATGAAGGTACAGAGGCCACACATTATGGATCTCTTAATAATCCTCAATTTTTTTTTTTTTTTTTAGAATTCAAAAACCTATCTGACTCTGGTGGGGAGAGGGAGTTGTTTATAATGGGAAAAATCTAGGGCTGTGGAGACAGAAAAAAAACAGGTTCCACCTGGGGCTATGGTGACTAAGAATAGAGAATGTAACCTTTCTGGGCCTCAACCTTAGATTCCATAAACTGAGAATAATACCACAAATGCCTAAGGGTTATTGTAAACAGTGGTGCATAGCACAGCATCTATTTCAAAATAGTTTTCAGGTACACATTACAAAATGTGAGTCAACATTAAGACCAGTAACCAGATTCTGTTCACTGCTTAATTTAATTTGGTTAAGTAT